CAATAACGTGATGCAAAAAAAAATTCAAAAAAGAAAAGTTGAAATTTTCGATTTCTATTATCACTTCCTGTGACGACCGGAAGTGACGGCTGACGCTCTTAACCCAAATGGTTTTGCCTACTCCTCAAGATCTATTAACTATAAAAGTTTGGTGTCTTAATCTCTTACCGTTTCTGAGATATGACTGGGACAAAATATTTTTGAAAAAAACGGAAATCGGACATATCTGACGACCGGAAGTGAATTTTGAAAAAATGAAAAAAACGCCTGGGGGTATTTTCATTTTCTATCATCCCTGAAAATTTCAAGAAAATCCGTCCAGCCATCTCTGAGAAATCGAGGGGGACACGAAAAGGGAAAAAAAAAAATAATAATAATAAACACTACAATCACTATAAGGTCTTCCGTCTGAAACGGAAGACCTTAATAAAAAGAAAAAACAGTAGAATCACTATAAGGTCTTCCGACTGAAACGGAAGACCTTAATAATAATAGTAAGAAACAGTAGAATCACTATAAGGTCTTCCGTGAAGACGGAAGACCTTAGCTAGATGCGTTTCTTGTTGCTAGGGCAACAAGTGGTCTTCCGACCGAACTTTTCTCCAGAACGCTATGCTATCTCACTTCATTTAATACTTTATTGAAGGTATTTTTCGTTTGCTCATGTAACATTTTCTTTCAACATAGATCATAATTATTAAAGGATTTCTGTATAATCTCTCTTAACAATGCTTTAAAAAATAAGCAAAAACTATCATACATGTCTTCACGGAGAAAAATATTATTTACAACTGAAAAAAGAGAGAAACAATCTCCCGCCCCAGCAGGATTCGAACCCGCAACATACGAGAAAGTTTGGATCGGTCATATCTTTGCAATAAATGCATCAATCAAAATGATGAAAACATACATAGAATTCTTAGAAGACTCTCTATTAACCCTGTAAATTTCAAAGAAAAATATTGAAAAACAAAAAAGTTGCAAATTTAACATTTTTGAATTCACTTCCGTTCGCGACCGGAAGTACGAACGACGAAAAATAAAGGTCGATCACCATATCTCCATTTGATGCTCTATTACATCAGTGAGTTTCAATTTCTTATCTTTAGCCGTTCTCAAGAAAATTAACGGACAAAATTCCATTTAAAAAATACAATTTTCCCCAAAAATCGCGAACGGATGTGAATTTCAAAAAAGTGAGGGATACCCCTGGAGATATATTCATGATGCATCTTCCCTGAAAAAATCTTTAGAATTGAATCACGCACAGCTGAGATATCGCCTGTACTATGAAAAGTGGAATAATAATAACTAGATGCGTTTCTTGTTGCTAGGGCAACAAGTGGTCTTCCGACCTAACTTTTCTCCAGAACGCTATGCTATCTCACTTCATTTAATACTTCATTGAAGGTATTTTTCGTTTGCGTTTATGTAACACAGTCTTTCGACATAGATCATTATTATTAAAGGATTTCTGTAGAATATCTGTTAACAATGCTTTAAAAATAAGCAAAAACTATCATACATGTCTTCACGGAGAAAAATATTATTTACAACTGAAAAAAAAGAGAGAAACAATCTCCCGCCCCAGCAGGATTCGTACCCGCAACATACGAGAAAGTTTGGATCGTTCATATCTTTGCAATAAATGCATCAATCAAAATGATGAAAACATGCCTAGAATTCTTAGAAGACTCTCTATTTATCCTGCAAATTTCAAAGAAAAATATTGAAAAACAAAAAAGTTGCAAATTTAACATTTTTGAATTCACTTCCGTTCGCGACCGGAAGTACGAACGACGAAAAATGAAGGTCGATCACCATATCTCCCTTTGATGTTCTATCACGTCAGTGAGTTTCAATTTCATATCTTTAGCCGTTCTCGAGAAAATTAGCGGACAAAATTCCATTTCAAAAATACAATTTTCCCCAAAAATCGCGAATGGAAGTGAATTTCAAAAAAGTGGGGAACACCCCTGGAGATATATTCATGATGCATCTTTCCTGCAAAAATCTTTCAAATTGAACCACGCATAGCTGAGATATGGCCTGTACTATGAAAAAAAGAATAATAATAATAACTAGATGCGTTTCTTGTTGCTAGGGCAACAAGTGGTCTTCCGACCGAACTTTTCTCCAGATCGCTGTGCTACCTCACTTCATTTAATACTTTATTGAAGGTATTTTTTGTTTGCGTTTATGTAACACAGTCTTTCAACATAGATCATGATTATTAAAGGATTTCTGTAGAATCTCTGTTAACAAAGCTTTAAAAAATAAGCAATAACTATCTAACATGTCTTCACAGAGAAAAATATCATTTACAACTGAAAAAAGAGAGAAACAATCTCCCGCCCCAGCAGGATTCGAACCCGCAACAAAACGAGAAAGTTTGGATCGGTCATATCTTAGCAATAAATGCGGTCATATGAAAGATATGGAGATAACGAACAGTATTCAAGCTCAAAAGTCCATTAAACAATACAAAATAGGAGCAGAGCAAACACGGACCTCCAAACATCAGAGGTGGGATCAGGTGCCATGAAGGAGTGAGCATCCGCCGTGTGCTCCTTGTCATGATCGGGAAATCACGGGAAAAATCCGTCGACAATTCAGTGTGTAAATAATGGCCTAACAATTAGTATGAAAAACATCAGTCAGCATTTGACTCGATGATAAATTGTATTTGCTGACAAGGTCATTGTATCGACCATAGAACTTACGAAATGATGACTTTAAAACGAGACAGCTGATATTCTTGTTTCATCAACTTATTTGTCAATAATTTACCTTGTTTTAGAAATTGTACATACGTAGAGCATGCTCTTGCGTATCGAATCAACTGAGAGATAAATAACCCGTATGCAGGTGATGAAGGTATATTGCTGCATAAGTAAGGGAAGTTGACGATTGAAAAGTTAAAGTCATCACGTTTATCATAAAGCTTGGTTGTTAGATTACCATTAACATCTTTTTCAAGTAAAATATCCAAATATGAAACAGATGTGTCAGACTCTGTGGTATCTTTTATCTCAAGTTCACCAGGATATATCGTATCGACATAAGAATGGAAATAGCCATTGTTAATTGACAATACGTCGTCGATATATCTAAATGTCGAGTTGAAGACCACAGCAAGTGTTTTCTTCTTTTCACGTACAAGATTTTGGACAAATTCTACTTCATATGAATACAAAAAAGGTCTGCTAATAACGGGGCGCAATTGGTACCCATGGGAATTCCAATAGATTGTTGGAAGACCTGGTCTCCAAAAACCACATAGATATTGTCAATCAGAAACTCAAGCATCTTTTTAATGTCAACTTCAGAGTACTTCTGTGTACAATCAGAATGTTTTTTAACAAAATAATTTTGCAAATGACCAATGACAACCCAGTTAGCACAACAACGTTATTTAAACGTTATAAAAACGTTATGAAAATGTTATGAAAACATTTTCTAAAACGTTATTACAACGTTATTTTGTGTGGTTTTTTAAACGTTATTATAACGTTTTGCAAAAACATTGTACTGAAATGTTTTTAAAACATTTTTAAAAACGTTTGGAAAACATTTTTAAAAACGTTTTGAGAACATTTCTTAAAACGTTTTTAAAACATTTAAAAAATCAATTTTAAAACATAATAAACAATATATGTCTTATAATTTAATAAATTTAAATCCATTCATTAATGTTGTCTAAACACTGTTTTTTTTAACACCTGCACAATAAAATTACAGTCTTCCTTCAAATGAAATTTGTACTGTTTGAAATACGAAAAGATCACAGCATCCTTATTCCATTAGAAATCAATCTGTTATACACTTGGACTTCTCTGTGTTCTTCTGAAAAACAAAGATTAATTTGGACATAAAACTTTGACTAAATGATTACCCATTCATACTCGTACATTTCTTTTAAGTTAAACATATCCATGTAATAAGGCATCTGACAACTAACTAAACATACTAGTATATAAAAATCTGATAAACACAAAGAAAGTATGCATTGTTATACAGTTGTATTAATAAACAAAAAATTACAGGTGGTATTATATCTATATATTTCTGACAACCAACTTCAAACGTACCTTATCATATTTAATAATTCCTCGAGGAAGGTATGGATCAAACCTCTTCGTCCCACCTCTCATTAAATCGTAAGAGATTGTCTTTGATGCTTTGTAAGGCTTGTAAGCAGCAGCTACTAAAATGTAATGTGAAATTCATTATAAGAAATGTAACTAAGTTAATGTATAAACATATTTAACAAAGGCATCGGAAGCAATTTAAAAGGGGGGGGGGGGCTAAACCAACAAAAACGTTGGGGGAGGGGTTAACCCGAATTTTCACTAACTCCATTACGTCTATCTTTGCAAAAAAGTTGGGGGGAGGGGACTTAGACCCCCCGGCTCCGACGCCTATGTTTAATAGTTAAATGAAAACAACACAGCATTACAAGTACTTAGATCAGTTTCCTTTTGCTGTATACATTTTCCAATGATTTATAAGTTAATATGTTAACTGAATCTTAATGCATTTTCTTAGCATTAATGGTGATAAAACTTACTCTTAATAATTCTTTAAAGGGATGCAACCCTCTGTCCAGTCTTAGTGAACTGACCCATGGAATTTGTTTGCATCATTGTCCTGCATATCTCCGCCCTGCATTGAAACCACTGCTTTCACTAAAATGAGTGTTATATTTTATCATGAAGAATGTGTATTTCAAAATTTGATTGCTAGCAAATATATAATCAAGCCTGAGATTGATTAATTAATTCCTCTCCTTTCCCTTCCAAAAGAAAATAGGTTTAACGTGGCATTGTATTCTGTAATACATAACTCAAATTCGGAAAAGTCTAACTAATCCATCTCTTAAGAATTATTTAACCCTGTCTTGTTAAGACCCCCTCCCACACCCATTTCTATTCCCAACTATGTTTTAATTATGCTTTGAAACCCGTCACACAATTTTAATACATGTAAATAAACCCAAGTTTTCAAACAATAAATCGCCCGCCTAATTCAAATGCCAATGAACTTTATAAACATATATACACCTAAGTCTATAAGAATGAAAGATCTAAGATTCTAAATGCATATGTATTTAAAGCTACACTATATGATTGCTAAATATACAGGCAATGAATACTATTTAAAATTTAACATACCATACGTTGACATTTGAAAGGTATTCCCCTATTCCTTTTCTTTGTCTTACAAGAATGCCGCCGGGTTTTTCAAAACTGTGATTCTGTTGACCTATATAGATCACATGGACATAGTTAGCAACAAGGATCGGCTGCATCAGCACTGGCCATGGCATCCCGCTGTGTCACTCAATTAACTCTCGATAAACACATTAGCGAAGGGGAAACTTATTTCCCATAGCACAAATAAATGACTCCACTGGATTTTTTAATTCAGGAACTTTGTTGAACAAATAAGTATTTGGAATTTTTTTTACTCTCTTTGTTATATATAAATATTTTTTACAATGGTATAAAAGAAAAATATGAACACATTTCCGGGTTGTTGTTGGTGTTGTTTTGTTTTGTTTAATTTTGGGGGGTCTAAATTTAATTATCACAACTCAAAATCAATCTTAACTCAAACTATGGAGCTATTCATAAGAAAACAAAAGTTTTATATATTTATATACATGTATCGTCTTGCACTGAATAATTAAAAACTTCTTATGCTTGGAGTTGGTATTTCTGTAACGTTTTTACAATGTTTTGCAAACAATTTAAGACAATGTTGTATTCATGTTGTCTGCTAACATTTGTATTTCATGAAATTTATAATAATTATTTCACAAAGTATTTTTTTAATCATGCTATTCAATTTATAGCTGCGCGATATTTTATCATTATAGAAATTAATGTTAAATGCTAAATGTTTTCTCAAAACCTCCTTGCAACAGGAAAAAAATGTTATAAAAACATTTTTAAAATGATTGTTAAGAACTTTTTTTAATAACGTGTTTACAACCAAAATAAAACGTTTTAAAAACATTTTATAAACGTTTTATTAAAAACGTTTTCAGATATCATCAATACAACGGGAATAAAATGTTATGAAAACGTTTTGTGCTACCTGGGAATGTAAGTATATTTACGAGTTCCATTTTTATTGAAAAAGCAGCTCTCAATGATATCAAAAAGCCTGGACTTTAATTTATCGTGGGGAATGGTTGTGTATAAAGTTGAAAAGTCGTTAAGTAAGTTTTAAAGCTGATTTTGGTAAAATCTTGTGATTTCAAATTTTCCAAAAGTTCCTTGGAATTTTTAAGTATCCACATCTGATTTACACCACTTCTCGAATATATTGTTGCACAGTACTCTTGAAGTTTCTCCTTCACCACTGTTAATATCTTAGTGAGGAGTAAAGATAGAGGCTTGGTTGAACATATACTGGAACCCGCTATGTATCTTTGTTTGTAAGGATTTTTATGAAGTTTCGGAATCCAACATAAATATGGTAATTCGAATTCATTTTGGTTGTTTGGAATATTAAAAATATTCAAAACTGACATATGATTTTGAAGAAGTTCTTCCTTAGAAAGGGAACTATGAGTATAAGTTGGATTACCACTTGTAGAATTAAATCCAAGTTCCTCTAAAATACATTTAATATAATGAGTCTTACAAACAAAGACAATGTTGTTACCTGCTTTGTCAGCAGGGACCAGTACGTACTGATCATGTAATCTATCTTTGTATTAAAACATTGCTGTGACGCCATGCCTTTGTTCTTGCAGTCTAAAAATTTACCTGTAGCCGTCCGATAATAATAATTATAGCAGTCCAATAATATATTATCGGACGGCAGTGATAACAAAATCGGACAGTAGTTAAAAAACAACAACTAGAGTGAAATTAAGGTTTAATTTGTCCAGAAACCAAAAAAAAAAGTTAGAGAGAAAAAATTCAGGGAAAGCGAACGCGAGAAAATTAAGTTATTAAAAATAGAAAATCCAAGAAGAAACTGGAGTTTAACCTTCCTCGAAAGTAACACTTTCCATTCGTTTTTTTGCAAAGCGTTTTCAATACAGCACTATGAATAAGCTAATTTAAATCCATTTCTAATAAAGAGCCAGTCTGCGAATCTCTTCATTTAACGAGGTTTGTTCGCTAATGACCGCACTTTTAAAACCCAAGATTTTCATTATATCATCAAATGAAAATTTTACATAAAAATCCGCATTTTTAATTTAAATGCATTTTGAAGATATCATCCAACACTGTATCTGCATCAATGTCAAACGCACTTAATAAAAAAGAATATTCCGAATCATAAAAAAATCCTTCATCACCTGACCACTGTCCATAGTTCCTGCTAAGCCAAACGACTGCCATTGAATGAATGAAACAAAAGAGTTCACTCACTGATTTTACTGTCTAAAGAAAAAAAAACTTTCTCTCTTCTTTTGTTTACTTATTAGATGGTTTCAGGTAGAAAACTATTGATGCCTGAACTCTTATTGTGTAATTATCGGACTCCTCCAGGTAACTTTTGGACATTTAAATAGCAATGTTTTAAGTAAGATATATGCCTCATACAATTCTATATGTAAAATTATCAGACTGTTTTCGGCCCTAACGGGCCTCAAACAGTCTGATAATTTTACATATAGAACAGTATTCGGCATATATCCATTACTTACATATCTTTGCAACAAATGCATCAATCAAAATGATAAAAACATACATGTACTTAGAACTCTTAGAAGACTCTCTATTAACCCTGTAAATCCCAGAGAAAAATATTGAAAAACAAAAAAGTTACAAATTTAACATTTTTTAATTCACTTCCGTTTGCGACCGGAAGTACGAACGACGGAAAATAATGGTCGATCAACATATCTACATTTGATGCTCTATCACCTCAGCAAGTTTCATATTCATATCTTATCATATATATCGAAAGACCTTAATAATAACAAGTAAACTAATTGTTCAGAGAACAATTAGAGGCCTTTCCACCTTTTTAAGTGTTTTTGTGTCGTTTAGGCAGAAAAAAAAAAAGAAAAATGCCCAAAAAAGCAAAAAAAAAAAAAAAAAAAAAAAAAAAAACAAAAAAAATCCTCCTCCAGCTGGGATCGAACTCAAAACCCTTGGTTTGAAAGGCAGGTGCTTTAACCACTGCGCTACACATTCCGATAAAATTGAGTAAGTTAATTGTTTAAGACTATAGAATAAATACAAGCGTATTTTTAGAATCGGTAGGGGAAGAAAGAAGTTCCGTAAAAGGAAATAGTTCGTGAACTTGCAAGCAGTATATAAAATAACAAGGGACGGATGTGCGTGAGAAAACGTTAACACTGTTCCCTAATGAAAATGTATTAATGGACTGTAGCCCGATTCATCGATATTGTGAGCATGCTGAATTTTTTGAAAATAGCTTAGTTGTAAGCTTAAAAGATCGGGTTCGGATTTTAACATTTCTGACTGAATATCCTGAAATAAATATGAAACATTTAAATAAGCATTTCTTTGGGTTAAATTAAATATGTGTAGCACAAATTAAACTCCCAACATGCATTTTTAGAAGGGAAACACGACAATGAAAGCGAGAACTGTTTTTAATATACCGAAAATCGCTATTTCTGGAAACTGATTAATTCTAAATAAAAATCAAATAAATTCCAAATGTAAAAGAAAGAGAGAATGCTTGGTATTAAAATGTCGTATCATATCAGGAAAATCGAATGCTACTAACGCCATCTGAAGAAATAGCCGATAAAAGGTTTAGATCATTTCTTCGTTCACCTGCACTTTAATTTCAAACAGAACAGAACTTGTAGTTCTTGCCGTGAAACTTCATGACTTCTATAAACTTATAAGACTCACCGTAAAACTCTCCAGAAAGTTTCTCTGAGGTCTATACTACATATGTACCAAATATGTTGTCGATCCGAGGTCTGGTTTGAATTTTACAGAAATATTCTACGTTGTTGTTGATGTGATTTTTTTTAAGAAGGGGGGGGGGAATGAATTATTTATTTTATGCCTCTTTTAAACTAAGAATTGTAACTACTTTCACATCTTTAAGCCTGATTGTGACCTTTGGGTCAAGATCAAAGGTCAAGGTCATTTCCAAAAAAAAAAAACCAAAAAAAAAAAAAAAAACAAAACAAAACAAAACAAAACAAAACAAGGAAATCTTTACTTTCTATGTTTTTAACTGATACTGGAGCTGGATGCATGTCCTTACTTTTCATTTGACCCAATGTCAAGGCCAAAGGTCAAGGTCAAAGTTCAAGGTCATTTGGTGAATTGCTATATTTTACACATATATAAGGAATTTCTTATGTTTTTAAATGACTTTGACCTTGACCTATATTTCAAGGTCAAAGTCAAACATGCCGATGCAGTTGGTCCCATGTCTCTAGGATACACCGTTTTAAAAAAAGTTCATTAAATGTAAGCAGCATAAACTTTCAGGGGTAGTAACTCATACAAGGGACCAAAGAATGCTTTTGCAATGAATGAAGAGAGTATTAAATGAGTCGAAGACACTGCTGCTGAAGGCATCTCTACGTTTTAAGGTTTCGGAGGAGTAGCGATAACAAGGTTTTATTGCAAAAGGGGTGACAACTTTTGAATGGGTCAAGCTTTGGGGACAAGAATGAAATCCTTAAAAAAGTTTTAGAAGGACATATTATAGATGCAAAGATATTCAGTATATGTCGAAAGGTTTTCTACAGAATCTCTGACAAAAAAGCTTTTAAAAATCAGCAAAAACTACCATACATGTTTTTAAAGAGAGAGAAGTCATTAGCAACTGAAAAAAAGAGAAAAACAAAGAAAAAAAATTAACTACCTCCAGCAGGATTCAAACCCCAGACAGTGGGGCAAAGTTTGGATAGGTCATATCTTTGCAATAATGCACGCATCAAAATATTGAATACATATTTAGAATTCTTGTAAAACACTCTATAAACCTTGTAAATCCTAAAGAAAAATATTGAAAAACAAAAAAGTTGAAAAATTGAACTTTTTGAATTC